ATTTTCTTTGGAGCCAAAAAATAAAATTTACACATCACCCGCCTGTTTTATGTTTCCGATTTCATTATTATTATTTTAATTTAATTATTTACTATAATATAATAATATAATTATAAAAAAAAAAGCCAATTTGTTCCTTGCGGTTTCGTTTAGGCTTAGACGGATCGATCCCCGGCTCTGACACAGCTCCAGCATTGTTCTTTCGTTTCTCTGTGATTTCGTCGGAGGCGAAAACAAGCATTGGATTTTTCTCTCGCCGGCGTCTCTTTCCGCGTCTCGTGGAATTTGTTTTCCGATATCAGGATTTTTGTTCTTGCGTTGCGATTTCTGTTTCCGGTGTTGTCTGATAGTTTCGCGGACGGGGAGTTTCTGGAATGAATTGAATTCTCCGAGTTTTTGTTTTTGTTTGTTTTTTGATTCGTTGGTTGAAATTAGGGTTTATACGTTGTTTTGGGTCGTGTTGTGCGGTGGGTATTTGTGTGGCGTCGGTGGGTATGAAGCGGAGTTGAATGGTGGGTGGAGGAATTCTTCGACATTGGCCGGCGTTCGTTTCTTTTTCGTGGGAGGAGATAATTAGGGCTTCGCATTGTTTTTCGCTGGGAAATTGGGTTCTAATATTCGCACCAAGATGATCATCAAACGTACTATGAAATTCGAAACGCCGAATCTCAAACGTTGCAAGCTTGAGGAGCCTGATTCTGCGGATTACATGTATTCGGTGAATTCTAAGAAACGGCGGACGGATGGGTATTATTCGTATGCCCTCCAGCGCGAGGTTGAGGATTTTAGTAGTGGTTCGGGTTCTTGGTACAGCGATGGATTCTATTGGGCGGAAGAATTCGAGCGAAATTCGAAGAAACTGAATGGGCAGCGAGTAACGAACCGCAGCGTGGACAAATTACGACCCCCGCTGTTGAAGTCATCGCGAGGCAGAATTCAGATGCTGCCTTCCAGGTTCAGTGACTCGGTTCTTCATGTGTGGAAGAACGAAGAATCGAAGGTCGATTCTATGGATTCCAGCAATGAAGAAAACTACGACGAAGAAGAAGAAGAAGAAGAAGACGGTGTCGTAGCAGAACCCAGGAAGGGAACTAAGGGATTTGCATCATCGAAGCAACAGCGATGGAAAGATAATTACAGGTTGAAGAATTCGGAGTGTGACTCATCGTGTAAAAGCGAGGAGGAGAAAGAAGATGCTTTTATGGGGTTCTCTAATTTGAACGGTACAAGGTATTTCAGCTCAAAAACTGTTCTGCCATTGGTAGACGTAGAGGAGGAGAAACCCACAAGGCTAACTTATATGGGTGCGAAGGCAAACTCAAATACTGAAAGGAGAAGGGACATTTACAAGCCAGAGGAATTTGCTTTGGGAGATTTAGTTTGGGCCAAGTGTGGGAAAAAGTACCCAGCTTGGCCAGCGGTTGTTATCGATCCCTTCTTGCAGGCTCCCGAATCTGTTCTAAAATCTTGCGTCGCGGGTGCTATATGTGTTATGTTTTTCGGATACTCAAAAAATGGAACGCAGAGGGTAATTTTTATTTATTTTTCCTGCTCATACTATATTGGTAATAGTAATTTAACTTGTCGAGTTTGTTAATTATTTAATGTATTGTAACTCTCACAGGACTATGCATGGGTGAAACAAGGGATGATATACCCCTTTGCGGAGTTCTTGGATAGGTGTGTAGCTTACTATTTCCGTCAATTGTGTGTGTTTTTTAAAACATTAAATACCATGGTAAAAAATGTTCCTGTTCAATAGATTCAAGGGGCAGAAACAGTTGCACAAGAGCAAACCAAGTGATTTCCAGATGGCTATCGAGGAGGCCTTATTAGCAGAAGATGGTTATGTGGATGCTAGCGTGGGCAGTATGTTAATGGCTCTTCGAGAAGCAGATGTCAGTGGGATGCCTGACGCTTCGACTTCAAACCAGGATCTGGACTACTATTCCGACAAGGTAACATTTTTGAGAATTTATTTCATACTTTTCGGTTTGTTGTTTACTGAAGTATTGTAATTAGGAGCTCTTTATTTGAGTCCTTCTGAAATGAATTTTAGTTACTGTTCTCTGACTGGGTGGGTCGGTTATTGGTGTACGAAGTAGGATAGTACGAAATTATATGATATAATAGCTTTGGTTATTGAATCTTTATAACCGGTCTTTGTTGGTTTTGTCATCTGGCCCAAATTTGCATGTTGATACTGTATTTCTGTTGGTATAAAAATATGTAATTTTATTATTTTGGTTAAATTATACATATAATGTATATATGTATACATATGTATACATATATATCAATGTATATATATACATATATATGTATATATTAGTCCTTAAACTTAAAAAAGGGCAGGGGAAAGTTAAGGAAAAATATCAATTTGTCCTAAAAAATATAATCAAATCTAATTTGACCCAGTGACCTGCGTATTCGTTTTTAATATGCCTATCTACCTTACCAAATTTAAGGAATAGACTGATATGTTTGCTACTAGACTGGTAAATGATAGGATTAAAGATAAACATATTAAGTTTTGGGATGTAATTCGAACTTTTTAAAGTTTACCTGCACAAAATATGTAATTTATGTGTTAATTTTTATGCATTGGATCCTTGCTTTATGATGTCAAGTTCGCTTCGTAATTTGTTTGATGGTTTTTCTTTCCTATAAAAAGGTTGGTTTTGAGTTTCTGCCAGGTCACATCTTCTGTTTTGAGTTTATAACGTTTATCAATATCACTGACAATGGCCTACGAGGCTTGGATTAAGATAATACTGATGATTCGCATTGTTAATGCTTAGATGCTTTTTTTTTTTCTTTTTTTCTTTTTACTTAGTTTTGTTGAGATCGCCCAACATTTTTGCTCTGTGCAATTATTTTATTTTTAAATTTAAAATAACCAAGAATAAAGATATTAAAGTTAATCGACATGTTATCAATGAAAAGTTTGTTTCTTGTTAAAAAATATCATGTAATTGACAGGGGTGAGTAGAAATTTCCATAGTATCACAAAAAAATTGACAAGATATAAAAAAATCAATAAAATATCACTAATATGGACATAATAGTAATTTTTAACTTATTCAAAAAGACCAAAATGCTTACTTGTAATTAAATATTTGTTATGAATGCCAGCCTGAGCATAGCTCAATTTATTTAGGTATATCTATCTTCGACCAAAATATCGTGAGTTCAAATCCCCACCCCCACTTGTTATACTAAAATATATATATATATATTACGGATTTTTTATGTTTTTAAGTTTTTCAGAAATATCCATCTGACATCAATATTTTGTTGATGTTTACCTCAGTATTTTCATAAAATTGAGATCTCAATATTTCCATCAACATCGACATTTAAAACAAAAAACGTTGCAGAGGATGTTTAGACCAACACCAACTTATATGTATCTCAACTAATCCTCCAACATGTGATGTCAAAAAATTGTATATTTTAATAGGTGATCTATCAGGGTTTGAATCTTAACTTTGAACGCATCTGGGTTCACTGCTTGCCTCTTCAGCAGGCCAACTATTAACAACTATTAACAGAGCTTTGATCCAATCTAGAGTCAGAGCATGTGATAGGAACCTTTCTATGTTAGTACTTCATGACTAGAAATCTAGGACTTACAAATGATTAATCATTCATTTCAAACACTTCGTTACCAGAAACCCAGTCATGTCATGTGATCTTATGGAATAATCTTTCAGGTGTTTATTGCTGTGGTGAGGGCATAAAGATCTTTATAGTCTATAATTTGATCCGTTTTAATTTTTAATTTTTTTTTTTTGGATAGGTGATCTGTTTTCAATTATTTTCTCTCTCATATTTTTAGGCTTTTCTGTTTGATGTGTTAGGAAGAAACATATCAGCCTTGATGTATATTCTTTCTTAACCCTGTCTTATTTTATTGTTTGCATGCTAATGCATCTTTGACACGTTCTTACACGCTGATGTTATAAACTCTGTTCACTCTTATCTGTTTGTTCTTGGTACATTATGGTGTAATTTGCTTGATTTTATCGAGAGTTCTTATCAGTTAATTATTTTACAGAAATTAGGCAATAAAGGTTCTAGACATTGTGATGGATGTGGCTTGATATCGGTTTGTAAGACACTTAAGAAAGTGAAGGGCCCAACTTCTGGCTCACAACTTCTATGCAAACATTGCTATAAGGTTTGTAAGATATGCTTATTCTCAAGAAATTGTGTTCTGCAGAAATAGTTCCTTGCCTATCTTGAAGAAATAATGAAATGCAGAAAATAGTTTCTTATCACAAATATTGTTATTCTGATAGTATTTACTATTGAAATTATCTATTAACTCTCATACTTACAGTTAAGAAAATCGAAGCAATATTGTGGCATATGCAAGAAAATCTGGCACCATTCTGATGGTGGAAATTGGGTAAGAATATTTTGTCGTTAGTTAGAATTCATCTGTTGCCTTTATACCTTTCATTCTTTATCTGATTTTATTTGAATGATTGTTGTTGGATTAGGTATGCTGTGATGGTTGTAATGTATGGGTGCATGCTGAGTGCGACAAAATTTCTGGCAAGCTATTTAAGGTATACTTTCTGCACCACGAATGGTGTTTCCCCCTCCTCCCTCTCTCACATACCGACGCATATATAAATATATATGTATATTTACCAAAGTTCAAGAATGTGTACTTGCTAATCTGGCCTCATTTGAAGGATTTGGCACACAGCGAATATTATTGCCCCGATTGCAAGGTCAAATTCAATCTTGAAACATTGCACGTTGAAAATAGTCAACCAAAAGCCAAGTGAGCACTACAGACTTGTTCTCCATTTATAATTTAGTTATTAAATATTTGTTTGCCTGCAAAAACATCGACATATTGATACTTTGGTTAAGGGAGGGGTGTGGAATTCCACTTTACTAATTCTGCAACAAAGCTTTTATACATGATGCCACTAGCAAGGAATAGGAATCTATTTTCCAGTTTTAAATTTTTTGTATTTGATGGTGAGTTATGTGACGCCATATTTAAACCAGTTCCACGGACAAAGGTGCGGTGGCTTCTATTCCAGATAAGATAATAGTGGTGTGCAACGGCATGGAAGGAGCTTACATTCCTGATTTACATTTGTAAGTCATGTGAATATCACGTTAAATAATATTTTGTTTTCTTCCTCCCAGTTCCACAAAAGATTTATTGTAGCACCTTATTTTAGTGATTTGGAAATTGTTTAAGATGATGAAATTGTGACCCCCAGTCCTATGTCTTTTAGAGTTGTCTGTAAATGCGGTTCTTGTGGGCCAAGAAAACAAAGACTTAGTGAATGGGAAAAGCACACTGGTTGCAGAGCAAAGAAATGGAAGTATAGTGTTAAAGTGAAGGCTACAATGTTACCTCTGGAACAATGGGTTCGTAATAACATCTCAGCCTTTCCTTTCTTTTTCAGACTTTAGTCACTGTGCTGTAATTGCATGCTCCCTTATCATTTCTTACTAACATCAATGAAATTTCAGATTCAAGAGTTCAACACGAATGGTATGGATTCCTTGAAGTCTTTAAAGTTGGATAACCAGCAGCTAAGCACATTCTTAAGTGGTACATATTTTCTCTCCAAATATTTGACTCATTGAGTCTTTTCTTTGTTTATCTTGGGAAGATTGCAGTATATGCCTGTGTCAGTCTCTTCTCACAGAGCACTTTCATTGATAAATTACAATTATTGAGGCTACATTTTTAAATATGTTATTATCTTTGCTGTAACAGAGAATTACGAGCCTGTTTATGCAAAATGGACGACAGAAAAGTGTGCTATTTGTAGATGGGTTGAAGATTGGGAAGAAAACAAAATTATCATCTGTAACAGGTACGATCTATCTAATTTTGTATTAACATGTATGATTAAAATTAAAGCAAACTTCGCAGTTTTTCTTGAGATAATGAACAAAATTAAGTTCTTACCACAACAGGTTCTTGAGAAGTAATATTTAAAATGACCTTATTTAGTAGTTTAGCTTTCATGATTTCTGATAGTTCAACATATTTTGATATTTATAGTCAAGGTTAAACTTTCAAGTTATGTTTAACAGATCTTAAAAAATAGTCTAATAGGTCCATGAACTTTCAATTTTTGTGTATATGAGGTCTCTACATTTTAAAAGTGTCTAATAGTTCCTTAAAACTTTTTCAAATTTGTTTCTAATAGGTCCTTGAATTATTAGATATTTTTTAAAATTTAGGGACCTATTAAATACAAAATTAAATGGTCAAAATTTTATTAGACATAAAATTCAATCTTGTGGCTTATAAGTCCATGAATAAAATAACGTTGAATAGATCATGGACCTATTAGACACAAAATAGAAAATTCAAGGACCTATTAGAAACAAAATTAGAAGTTAGAGATTTATTAAACACAAAACTAAAAGTCTAGAACCTATTAGACACTTTTCAAAATTTAAGGGCCTAGTAGACACAATTCTAAAAATTTAGGGACTAAACATGTAATTTAACCACTTTTGCTTGGGCCCAAATCATTTAAATGTAATTCTATGTGTACAAGAGATCTGTTACACCCTTTTCTCTTCCTCTTTCTTTTATAGGTGCCAAGTTGCTGTCCACCAAGAATGCTATGGGGCGAAAGATATTCAAGATTTTACATCATGGGTTTGTAGGGCTTGTGAAACACCAGATGCCAACAGAGAGTGTTGCCTATGTCCTGTGAAGGGTGTGTATTGCATTTCATTTCTGGAATGCCCGTGTTTTTCAATTTTGGTGAATAATCATTTTTATAACTAAAATTTATCGTAATGAAGGTCATACTTTACGTTTAATAAGAGTATTTTTAGAAAATATTCTACCCATATGTCTTCTTGCTTTTCAATTACTTTAAGCAACAATGTCTCTACATAACCCTCTTTGGCCCTACTTCCTCATTTTGTCCAGCTTTTCTATTTGCATTTATACTTCTCTCTCTAGAGTCCCCTTGCTAGTTTCCTCTCACGCACACAAATGCCTGTATTCATTCCCCACTCCTGGTTTTTTTTTTTTTCCCACTCTAGGTCACTGGCATTTAGTATATCAACTTTTAATGCTTTGACATTCTATGATTTATACTTATTACAAATTCTTGTATGTTATTATTTTTTCTTTTATTCAAGTGTGCTTTGTGGCTTGCATAATGCCATTTGTCCATCTCTCTCATTTTGGTGAGCAAGTGACTAAGAGTAAAGCACGGACACGATATGACACAGACATGGTGACACATAATTTTTTAGAAATCTAGGACACAGGCACGACAAAGACACATCGACTAAAATGATTCTTTTAGGTATATCATATATATCATTTTATACGAGAAGGAAACTCAAAATTAATAAGTTTATATATTTTTATGCTTTTTGGTGTTTTTATTCTCAAATTATATTATGTCCTATCTATTTATGTTTATTTTTTAGGTCTATTTTTTATGATTAACAAGTGTTCAATACTTGTCCGACAAGTGTTTGATCCATATTCATTTTGTACAACTAGTATATGACATACATTTATTGAGCTAACAAGTATTTGATACCGTGTCCAATAAGTGTTGGAGTATTGGACTGACTGACCCATGTCTGTGTCAGACACATTACCTATTCTAAAATGTCTGGCGCTTCTTAGTTTTGGAGTATGCATTGTTGCCTATTGCGGTATTGCCCCAGTGCTGTCTTGCAATATGAATAAGGAACTATGTAAAATTTAATTTCTGTATATTGCTTCAGGAGGTGCTTTAAAGCCTACTGAGGTTGATGGACACTGGGTTCATGTCATGTGTGCTTGGTTTCGTCCTGAAGTTGTTTTCTTGAATCATGAGAAAATGGAACCTGCTGTTGGCATCTTTAGAATTCCGTCTAATTCTTTTTTGAAGGTAATGTTGTCATTTTATTTATATATATATTTTAAAATGTTCTTCGGTCAAAAATTTTGCTAATTATATGCTCATTTTTCAATTCATTATAATAGTTTAAAAGTTCTAGTTCTTTTATGTTTACAATCTTTTCAGGACTAGAACATTAAATTCATAACCAAAATGATGGTGTGACAATGAAATGCATTTTCTTCACCCAATATAGAATTACCTGATTGGCTGATTATTCATTTAATGAGTTAGGAAATGTTCATGAAAATTTATTCACTTCATATAACCAGATGCATAATAACTTATACAACTTGAAATTTGCAGAAAATGGACCTATTAAAATTACTATTATGCTAACAATTTGTTCGCCACCTTATTAAATATAATTTTTTTAAATTTTTTTGACCATCATTCTTTTAGATTAAAAAACTTAATATATACATAATAAAATTGAAAGTTTTAAAAGGTTTGAGATAAAATTGAGAAATGACAAAATAATATCTTTACCCTTTTATTTTCTTATTACCTCTGGGATTCATAATATTGATTTTCTACCATGCAAAGAGATGTTCGTTGTCCACAAATTTTTTCTTTTTATGGATAACAGAGATGTGTAATCTGCAAGCAAAGTCATGGTTCCTGCACTCAGTGCTGCAAGTGTGCAACTTATTTTCATACAACGTGTGCTTCGAGAGCAGGATACTACATGGAGGTAAGTGTTTATGGTTGATAGTTGGTAATCACTATTCTACAGAATATTTCAATTTACTTGCCCATGCTTCCGTTTTAGAAAAAAATTTGACGTCTGTTTCTGGGTTGTGAAATTGTTTCAAGGTGCAACATGCTGACAACCTTAACTCGTTATATTCTCTCTTTCAGTTGCAGTGCTCAGAGGAGAGAGGGAAACAAATTACTAGAAAACTGATATATTGTGCTATCCATAGGTCAGGGCTTTATTGCAATTTATTACTTTTTTTTCTCTCTGGTTCAACATGGATTCTGAGGCACAAAATACTTTTTCGTCATGTAGGACACCAAACCCTGATGCTGCTCTAGTGGTGCGTAGTCCTTCTGGGGTTTTTGCAGGCAGAAATTTGCTTCAAAAGCAGAAGGGATGTTACAGGGGATCAAGGCTAGTTACATCAAAGATAGAAGAACAGTCAAAGTCTTCAGCCTCTGAAACTAATGATTTCGAACCGTATTCTGCAGCAAGATGTCGTGTCTATGTTAGATCAACTGAGAAGGTTTCCCACGTTTGATCATTTTTAAAAATTATTTAGTAACCGCTATCTTGTGGTTTCGTTGCCTCACCATTATCTGTATTTTTCAAGAGGGTTGAAGGGCAACCAATATTCCATCGAATTATGGGGCCGAGCCATCATCCATTAGACGAGATCATTAGCTTGAGTGCACCCAGAGTAATATTCTTCTCCTCGATTGTTTAATCTCACACTTTTTGCTCATTTTCATGTGATAAACAAAAGTTAATTGTTTTCTCTTACAGGAAGGAGAAGACCCCAAAATGTTTTCTTCATTCAAGGAACGACTTCAATACTTACAGGTAAATGCTACCTCCCGTGCAATATCCCTTCTTTTTGTATCTTTCATATTTTAATGAAATCTTGTTGCTACTGTTTGACTAATTTCCCTACATGATTTCAGAGAACTGAAAAGTACCGGGTTTGTTTCGGTAAATCTGGAATTCATGGATGGGGCCTCTTTGCTCGTAGGAATGTGCAGGAGGGAGAAATGGTAAGGATGTAGCTGATTTCTCCTGGTTCCATTTAAGTCTGTACATTTCTGTGATTAGAAAGTTTGTGCAATCAGTTTCAGTGACCTTTTTTTTTAATATTACAGTGGTAATATTCAATGCTGTACTTTTGTGTTTTTTTCTTCACGCCTCACGGTTCCTTAATGTTTTGAACTGATTTCATTTTCATCAAAGACAACCATTGAGTTGAGGCAGTCTTCCAAGATAAAGTTTTAGTTTAAGTTTTCTATCTAATCAAACATGCATATCTACTTTTCTAGGTTGTTGAGTACCGTGGTGAGCAGGTGCGGCGCAGCGTAGCGGATTTGAGGGAGGCTCGGTACCAACTAGAAGGAAAAGATTGCTATGTAAGTTACTTGTCTACACCATTTTTATTTATGCATGAGGCGCTGTATTTTTATTTTGGTTTATCCACTTTGTCTTTGCAAATTACTTGGACGAAAAAAAATATTATAAGTTTGATATCACTTTTAAAACTTAAAAGGGTGAAAACTGCTTTTAGCGTACTACATTTTGTTCCTCTTTCGATTACTGGAGTGTTGTAATATGCAAGTATTTTAATCGGCAAAGTAATTTATTTTGATTATGTTTTTGCAGCTTTTCAAGATCAGCGAGGAAGTAGTCATTGATGCCACGGATAAAGGAAATATAGCACGCTTGATAAACCATTCGGTAAGCAATATGCTCTAAATTGTGGGATTATTGATTTGTACATTAGACTCACCCTATCCTTTTATTCACAACATGGCCTCGAAGTTGTTTATCAAGTAAAAAATGTAATTGTAGAAAATAAAACACCTGTGATTGAAATATTTTCTATTTCTCCCCAATTTCATGGCCAGAACCGAGCCGCTCTGATACGAGATTGATAGAACCTGAACAACTAGAAATGTATTGAAATATAAAAAATAGAACAATACAATGACTGACCCTCTCCTCTCTTGAGTATTCTTATTCAAGCCTAGACCACACTAAACAATTGCCTACCTTCCTCCTGTCCTCTTCACTCTATTTAACTTTTCTAGCCAATTACTAATATACCCTTGATACTCTAACCATATCACCAATTCTATATTAAAAGTAATCCTATAAGTGCCTGCTTGGAAAAACACTGGGATGCCTGGACTTACCTCCAACTTAATAATTTGATTTAAAACCCATGCTAGCCGAGGTAAGTGAAGCCTATTAATGGGTGCCGGGGCACGAGGATAATGCAATGAGTGGGTCCTCCCTTATGCGTGCCCAACCATAGCTTGAAAGAATACAATACCGTCGAAATCGTAATCATTCAATTCCACCCTACCCAACTGAAAAAGTGCAGGCTAGCTTAAGAGTTAAGTAGCTAACACCAATCCGTCGTTTGTTGGAAGAATAAGGCCATAATCTTTCTGTTAAATAGGATTTCCTCTGCTTAATGGATAAGCATTTGTTACCAATGGGGAATTCTTTCTCATCTAAAATTGAAGTGGTTGTTGTGTCGTGTGTGTGTGTGGTGCAGTGCATGCCGAACTGCTATGCAAGGATAATGAGCGTTGGTGACAATGAAAGCCGAATAGTTCTCATTGCCAAGACCAACGTAGCTGCTGGAGAAGAACTAACGTAAGGAACCACTTTCTTCAACCCTTTTTATTATTATTAATTTTAAAATTCAACTTAGGGGCTCTCATTTTTTTGCTCATTAATCCCTCCTTGTAACAAACAATCAAACAGGTACGATTACTTGTTCGATCCGGACGAGCCCGACGAACTCAAAGTCCCTTGCCATTGTAAAGCACCCAATTGCAGGAAATTCATGAACTAACTCGACTCGACTCAACTTGACTCCAACTCAAACTCCCAACTCTAATTCTTTTGCTACGTCTCCTCCTCTGCAACCTCTACTGGAGAGCGGGAGCGAGAGCCGAGCAGCTATAATTTTTTTTCTCCCTTGAAAAGAAAAGGAAAGAAATTTAGAGGCAGTTGTTTCGGTATATTCATTCCCCTATCCTTCATTTGTATAGCAATTAGTATAGTTGTAGGTGGAATAAAAGTGTAAAAATGCAATCCACGGCTCTTGGATATTACGCAAATGCCAAGGCTTTTGAGGCAAATTTTTATTCTTTCTTTTTTTTTTCTTCCTTAAATAATGTTTATTATCCAATTTTCAGTTTTGCTTTTAGTTGAGAGTGAAATGAAAAGTTCTTGTAATATCATTGTTCTATTTTATTTATTTTATTTTATGAGTTTTACGTGTCAGGACTAGGGATTGAACCTTTTAACTTTAGGGAATTGAATGTATTATGATTTTATATCTAGAATTATACTCGAATTGGTAGAATATCATCATAGTTGGCATGATACCACTGTGCTTCAAACTTTCAACTACAAGTTGGCTTGTTCAAATTTGCTGAAAGCTTGAAGAATTTGTTCAAAAAAATTGGAAAAAGAATATATTTTTTTATTATAGTTTCAATTTTATCAATTTTAATTATAAGTTTGGGTAAGCTAAATTTGGTTAAAAATTATTTACGAATCAATTAATGAGTTATATAAAGTTTTAAGTAATAAAATAATCTAAATCAGGCTATAGAAATTTGAAACTGTCTAAATTCAGTTTTGAAAATATTTTAATGAAGTCATGTGGGTTAAAACCTAAGAAGAGTAGATTGAGCAATAAAATGTTAAAACACCAAGATTAAACAATATAATATTTATGAATAACTTAAAAACTTTTTATACAACCAAGGGAAGGGAACTGATATTGTTAAAACACTAAGATTCAACAATAAGATATTTATGTACCATTTAAAAATATTTGATACAAACAAAATTTATAGGATACAACCAAAAAGAATATCATATAATTTTAAATAAGAAGTGTCGGTTTATTATTATTTTTTTCTTTTAAAGGTAGTAAAGATGTCATAACCATTGGTTTGTACTAATCAAAAACTATTTTTGGTTAAATCGAAAGTTGTGATTTTTTTTTTTTTAAAAAATAACTTATAACATGACTATTGGTTAAATAAGAAGCTATTGTTTATATAATTTTTCTTTTAAAGGAAGTAGAGATGTCATGACTATTGGTTTATTCGGCTGAATTTTATTTTATTTTTTAATCGAAAGTTGTGATATCTTTAAAAATACATATTAAATTTATGTGTGGTGTAATACCTCTAAAAAAAGGAAAGTAAATATTATTAGTTGGAATGAGTTCACTAACTAGTATTATGATATTATAATTAAATAGTCGGCTTACATTTTATCAACTAAAGTTAATTTGATAAATATTCAATTATTATATTTATTGTATTTAATTTCACAATTTATTAATTTAATTTTAATATAATTTCATTCATTCGAATTATGCATTTTTATTTTGGCAATGACATTATTTATTTATCATGATCGGTCCTTTCCTTTTATCATTTTTGCCTCATTTTTTTCCTGGCTACATTCAATAAATTTGTTGAATTTTGTAAAAATGGAGTAAAATAGACATTTTGAAAGTAAAAAACCAATGGAGGGAAACTAAATGTATAAAAATCAAAATTGACTGAGAACCAAAATTAATGTTTTTAATAATACCAAACTAAAATTGAAATTAACTAAAATAAAATTTGAAAACAAAAAAATTTGTTTTCATCTCTCCCTATGTGCTAATACTCTTTTCGAAATAGTAATTATGTTGAATGGAAAAAAAAAAAAATATATATATATATATATATATATAATTTTATCCAATTGAAATTAACTAACTTTTTAATTTTTTGCCATAGGTTGGTCACAAATAAAATGAGTCATCTGTCCAGTAAATATGGCATATAATCATTTAATTAGCAATGTTAGGCAGAAACATGACATATTAGTTAGTGATGTTGAACAAGTACCAAAATAAAAATTTTAAACAAGTACATAAATAAAAGAATTAAAAGTTTTAAAGTTTAAGGATGAGTATAATACAACCTTTTAAGTACTGACACAGGGAAAAAAAAAACTATTGTCTGCACAAATTTATCTATTCAAATATTGTGGCTTATTCATTTCGCTAGACGAGTGACCTGCAAAATAAAGCTGAACACTCCATTTCTAAAGTTAGTCGCAGTCGTAAACGATAAATAATATATTTTAGAAAGAATTTGAACATATCTGGGTAACGGATTACAGACCCTCTTAGCAGAAATCAACGTTGAATCAGTAGATAAGGAAGATCGAGATTCTCTCCCTCAAAAAAATTTAGCCAGACAAGAGATGATTGCTGACCAGACTCAGTCAAACCTGTGTCCTATGCTCGTTGATGGCGGTAATGATAAGGCGCATGTGGCTTAGTTCGTTCCTGGCCATCGATCTAACGCCATCAAATCAGCATATCTCTTGACTGTCAATATGTGTTCGTATGTTTCCCCCAACAACTATAACCTTTTAAAATTTAGGAAAAATAACTAAAAAAATTTAGGCTAGATTTGTAAAATATTTTAATATTGCGTCATTACTTCTAAATAACTTTCATATTTAGTGGCTCGATTCGAAAATTAAACATTAATAAAAGATTTTTTTAAAAAAAATCCCTAATGATTACAGATAAAATAAAAAAGGAGCATAAATATTAAAGATAGTATCACATATTTACCCTTTTGGCCATACATTAAATTTGTCATAATATTAATATTAGTATTACTTTTATTTATTTGTCCCGTTAATTAAGTTTAAAAAATTCGAACGTTTCCCGCGCATATAAATAGCCAAGTTTGAGAGCGAGAGGAGCTTGTTTAAAAAAGTAGGAGGAGGAGAGGAGAGGAGAGCAGAAAAGTGAGGGCGTCCATGGGGAAGAAATTGAGCATTGCCTCAGCGCGCGATCGAGTGGTTACGAGATCTCAATCCAGTGCCATGGAGCGGGAGAGATTGTCTAAGCGATCGCCGATTGCTGCTGCGGAGCCG